TTGTGTTCTCACCTTGTCCAACTGTACGTCAAATCTGTCCGTAGGTTAACTTATATGTGTAGTCTTATAAAAGTATAGTGAAGTGTCATTCATCCAAATTGTCTTTAATAATGCAGTTTCCAGTCGAATTGTATTTGATATTAACGGTTTAGAGTAGGGTTATTATTACTAACCTTGCGTGTGACAGTCGGTGTGAATTTTGACTTCCTATTGCTGAGCTTGCTTGACTAGATATGGAGATTCTGGCTACATAATTACAATCGATGAATTACTATTTTCGAAAAACTTGTATAAAACGTAATAAGATCTGTCATTTCTCTTTGAAAAATATGGTACAACTTTTTCGATAATAGAATTTTACTATGTAATGTTAAAATATACTTAAATTCTTACAGGGCTGACCGTTCCATATTGTACTTACTTTTTAATGTCAGCTGAAGTAGCGATTTATAGGTTAGTTTTTGATATTTGACAAATATTACCAACGTACACATTTTCCCTAATATTCGGGGAAATTCGTTTGTGATACATTGTACCTAAAAGTCAGACCTGCAGTGTTTGAGGTTATTAATTTATTAAAACTCATTGTTATGTGTGATATACGTCTTGACAAGCATAAGTGTGGCTTGCACATTCCAAAGTGGTTCAATAGAATCAACAAATTATTTATGATTTTTTACTTTGTTCAAACTCAAATATTTATTGTTTTGTAGCCAAAAAGTTGAAAGCTTATACCTTATTTATTTACTGCACTAATTTATTGTGGTTTAAACTGTACCTTATCATATATTTCTTACATAAAGGACTCCCTGAGTGATCATTAGTCGATTCTGAGTATGGCAATGTTCTTCACTTAGGTTTATTTTGTTAATTTCATCACAGTATATACTTCATGGGTGTAACAGTAAGGAAGCTTGTATTGTTCATGTTCCTTCAAATGTACTTGATAAACGAATTTTTTCAACTTATAGGTGTATGATATTTATTTGTAAATTTTAAAATAAACTGATATGAATATGAAATCGTTGTATTTATTTAAAAATTAAAGCTGCATACTGCGGTTACGAGTAAATAACGATAACCCAAAAAATGCATATTTAAAGTACACCTAACACATACATTTCAGATTTTGTTGATGCTTTACCAACATACAAACGCCATGCAAATAAATACATGGACTAGAAGGCAGTTTGTATAATTGGGAACTAACAAGGTCATCTTGAAACTGTCATATTCAGTCAGACCAATGTTGGAGCGGCGACTGTACGGGTGAATGTCGCCACTTTCATGAATTCGAAATTCCATAAAAAATAACATTTGTGCTGCAAGATGAAGCTAACTTACGATTACTCGGTATTTTTAATTCTGATCAAAATATAGGGATTACAGTTTAGATATATTAATTTAAATTATAAGCACTTAACTACGAGTACTCCAGGGGGGTGATACCGGCATACTAAATGATTGAAGAAAATTGGCACGGTAATCAACATCATCTAGCGTAAAAGGCTAGGCAATTTAGTCATGTAAAACGTTTAAATGAGACTGATGGCGTTAAAATCCAGCCAGTATATATATGTATTATTTATGGAGTAATCAATTTAACTCAACTCAGGTCAAATCGTTTGCCTTTGTTTCGAACTTGGGAGAATTTCAAATCATGTCCACTGGTAACCCTAAATGTTTGTAGGCGCCCACTTGTTAAAGTCAAATATGGGGACAGCTATCTCTAAATGGTGCTTCCCGTAACTTGTTTATTTTTCCGTTTAGCATGTTACATTACACCACGTAACGTCTGTATGCAACTCGACATTTCTCAGTGTCGTAATTATTGAAACCAAAATCAATTATTGGGTTAAAAGAATAAAACCATCATATATCCGACCGATACAGCCTTTATTACATACATTTTCATTTATAAATACAAATTGAGAAGTGTTTCACAACAAAATATTTCCTAGCTTAGTTAATTGTCCGTAACGTATATATCACTGCACAGCGCGGGCGCGGGGGCACGCGGGGGCACGCGGCGAGCTTGCGGGGGCGCCCGGGGTCACGCGGGCAGCAGGCGGGGGCACGCGGGAGCACGCGCCGCTCACCGGCTAAGCGAGTGCGAGCGCTCACGGGAACTCTCGCCATTGCAGCGCGCGCGGTCATTGCCTGCAACACAACACACCTCACAATATTGTTCTCACTGACATATCGTCATCTCTTTCATTCTAATTTGAAACAACAGAGATAACATTATACAGGTTTTACGACAGTCAAAGCTCACGGTATACAAGTCAAGACACAGCGCTTAATAATTTGCATTTTATAATGCAATAATTGAATTCTAATAAATCTACTTTTATACATTAAACACTACATTATATAATTAATAACTTGCAATTTTAGTCTAATTTTTTAACATACAATCCTAATTGAAATGAACATAAAACATAATAAAAAAAAACCGGGTTTTAGGGGAAGACAATCACGAATAAAATAATAAAGGTGCAAAACATTCCCTATTTAGTATCATTTTAAAAATAATTTTAGTTTCGAACTGAACAGACCAGCATTACATTTTTGACTGCAACAATTAGTACCATATTATGGTCATTTAAAAGCCCCTTAATGCAGATCATCGTAAATCTACACCAAGTTACTCTATTAACCATTTAACGATACGTCGTTAGTTAAAACAAAATACGCATTGAAAATAAGTGTGAGGGGCCAAAAAAAAAAGTAAATTAAATTTAGAGCAGGCCAACAGTGAGCAAAGTGTGTCATGTCTCAGCATGTGTTGACACGAGTGATGCAAAGCGCTGGACAAGCGTAAGAGACAAGACAAGGCCTGACCTAAGGAACGACGGCCGTGAGAACTGGTGCCCTATAACAAACAATGTCACATCATCACTGTCGCCTTTACAATAGGGCGCCAAAAATTTTATTAATCATTAATAAAATAATATTAACCACATTGTGTTTTAAATCCTGAATTTAAGAAGCTAAAGCACGTAGTAATCGTAATTTAAAAAATTAAACTAAGGTACAATTCTGGTTTTAGCGGTGGAAAGTATTAAATCAACATTGCATTTTGGAGTTTCTGTTCAACTGGGCTTAATTTTAATAATTATGTTTTATTACTATTTTGTCATTATAATTAGACAAAAGCTGTGGAAAATGCAAAAATTGTGAGTTTTGTTAGTATTGAAGCCAAATTCTAAATAAATCGATATTTTTAAACTATATTTACAATGTATTAGTGTACTCATTGATTGTATAACGGATGTTCTACTACAATGACGTCACTCATTCGTAATGATCCTAAACACGATCTTATGTGTGTTTCATTTTGTTACCAGCATATTTATCTTAATTAAATTAATATCTAATTCAAACGGGAGTTTTTGAGATAGTAAATTGGTGAAGGCTTATTAAACATATTAGTACAAATTTTGCTTATACTCAGTTTATTCCTAAGACTAACTTTATACCTCGTTTATTTGTAAGGCTGTGTGTGTTCAATCAGACTATTCTACATGTATGCCAAATTACTTTCAGATGCCTTCCATCCATCTAAACTTTCGAATTTACAATGTAAGTATGATGTGTGTATGTGTTTGTGTGTCGTGTGTGTGTTTTTAATAGAGGGAAAATTGTTTGACAGCACCGTCAGACATGGGAGCTACAAGCCCGGTGTGTCGGGCTCAGGATCATGAGGTTGTGTGATGTGTGTGCATGTGTGTGTATGTGTGAAGTGTGCACCCACCGAGCCGCTGGTGGTGCGGCAGCTTGGTGAAGAAGGGGTGCGCGAGCGCGTCCCGCAGCGAGATGCGCTGCGCGGGCTCGTACTCCAGCATGCGCGCGATCAGCTCGAACAGCTGCCGGTGCTCCTCGTTGTTGCTCTGCATGTACCTCTGCACACACCAACGTACATACAGACATACAATTAAGCAAAATAACACAAAGTAATTCAATATAAAATAATAATCACAACAAAAGAAAACATTTATAACTAGTTTTCGGCCGCGACTCCGTCCATTTATACACAAAAATATCAGTGAAAACAATTAAACGAGTGGACGATAGCGTAAAACTAGTGTGTTTTAAAAAGTGTTTAGTGTAATATGTCCTTACTAAAAACTCAAGAGCCAGTTAATATACTTGCAGTATTTAGACATTTACTATTTTGCATTTTATCATCTCTTCGTCAAATAAAATTTAAAACCACATCAGATACTAAATACCCGTTAAATTGCGAAAATTTGAGAAAGCTACTGCTAAATTACTTGTATTATATTTTCACATTAGCAACTATAAAAGTATTACCACAATAGCAAACAAGGAAGAAAAAGATAAAATCAATCTAGACTTAGCTACGGTCGCTGTAACAATAACACGGCGGAGAACGCAAATAACACAATGATTTAAAATTGTCATCATACAAAAAGTGGGACATTATTATAAAACACTTTCAACGTTACGTAAAACGCGGAGACGACGCTTTCACAATCACAAAAAGTGCAACATTATTTGCATCAATACAAATATAAATCAATTGTTGCTTTTTATTTTTATAAACATCAAAAAATATAATTTACATCAATTCATTGTGAGAACAAATTGCTATGTTTGTTTACCATAATAAGAGATTTTCAATGATTTTCTTAAACAGGTGTTATGACAGTTTTAGGGTCGACTTATACTAGCGCAAAATGCGCGAAGCATATCAAAACTTACATTCTTAACAATTATAGAGCAACTTTAAAAATGCCTGTAACGGTCGTTAGACGCATTGTTTTAATATGAGAGTTTATTTATAGATCAGAAGAAACTTGTAGATAAGGTTGAATTTAAAAATTAAGATTTGCATTGACCCTTCTATCCTTCGCTAGTATAAATTGATCCTTAGCAGTAATATCATGTAAACTAAAAGGACATCGTGTACAGGCACATGTATGGAGTGTATGTATGTATGTATGTACAGTAACTGACCAGCAGCGGCTTGCAGTTTTCTCGCACGTAGCGGCCGGCGGAGGACTTTTCGTCCCAGTCCAGTTTGCCGTGGTAGAAATATTTCGTTCTCGTCTTACGAGCCATTCTGTAATACAACATTGCAATTTTATATAAACTTTCTAAACTACACTAGATCAATATTAAATTGACGTTTATATTGCAATTACAATAAAACAAGGATATCTGGCCGTATGTAAGGCAGGCTACTGTCGCTCAGATTATATGTAAAACTTACACGGGTATAGAATTTTTTTACATATTATATGGTAGCAAACGAGCAAGCTGCCACCTAAATGGTCAGCGACCACTATGCATATATATCCCGCAATTGCAGATGCGTTGCCTTCACTTAATTGACGGATAAGGAGATATTTCTCCTTCCTATGCGTCTCCTCCACCGTCAAAACCACTTTTCTTAGTGATCTAAGTGTGAGTGTACCTGTAGGGGATGGGTCCGAGGATCCTCTCCATCATGGCGAGGTGCTCGCGGTTGTCGTGCGTCTGGAAGAGCGTGATGCCGAGGTGCAGCTCGAACATGATGCAGCCGATGGACCACACATCGCATGGCTGCGACCATCCCAGCTCTGAAACACAAAAACATACTCATTATTGAAATATTTCTATACATTGCCTTTAATGATGTAAAACGATAAATTATGTGTATGATTTATATAGCGATGTTTTAGAGGCTATTTTATCTAACTTAAATACATTTTTGTTAGGCCATTATTACACAAGGCGATGTAAATTTGTAAAATTTGATGATTTTAGTCGCCAAACGACTTATGCAATACAATATCATAAAGATAAAGCAAAGGCACATATTGTCTACATTTCTATCGTCGCCAATGTCAGTCGCTCGAATACTGTTTGTCAAGGTCATTATAGAAGTTGCTGTAATTGTTGCAATTTTAAAGATTTATGCAGTTAACATTTAGTACACCTTTACTGATTGAATAGTCAGCACTATTCGGCGATTGCACGTAACTTGAAAATAGCGACGCAAAAATGAAGTTTTAGTTTTAAAGATTTACGTTAACTAGTGTATGAGCTTAAAATTACTTAGACATTTGTAATTCTTTAGTTTGTTGGACAGATGTAGACAGGGGTTACTGACACCAAACAAACAACCTATGTTTGTTTCATATTAAAGCAAAACACATAATAATCTATACTAGTGTAATGAGGAAAGATTTGAGTTTTTGGATTTTGTATGTATTCGATTCACGTAAAAACTACTGGGTCGATTTTAAAAATTCTGTTACCATTAGAAAGGTAATTTATCTGCGAGTAACATAGGGTATATTTTGCACAATAACAGTAACATAGGGTATATTTTATACAACAGGTGGTACATTGAAGCCGTACCCAGTATGACTTCTGGCGCGCGGTAGTGCCTGGTGGAGACGATGGTGCTGTGGTGCTCGTGGTCGAAGGTGGCGCTGCCGAAGTCTATCAGCCGCACGTCGCTGCGCTTCACTCGCAGCAGCTCATGTGTCTGAAACATCAACATACAATACTTCATTAATCATACTAATAAATTAGTTTGTTAGAGTTTGTAGCCGACACGGCTGAACGGATTTTGATGAAATTTAGCACAGTTGTGGAGGATAGTCTGGAAGAGCACAGGCTACTTGCATTTGTTTTTTTTTATTCCGCGCGGACGTAGTCGAGGGCGAAAGCTAGTCATTCACATAAATACTTTTCTATAGTTTCAAAAACATATATCTGATAAGGAAAATATAACTGTAAAATAAATTAAAAATCACTATTACTAACGACTCGTATTACTCGAGAATTTAAACTATACTCTAAGGAGTATTTCCAAGTAATTTTTAGAAGTTAGTCTTTATAAAAGAAATTTAATCTAAACCTGTCAAGTTTTTATATTTCAAAACCACGAGAGCGTTGTTGGCATTCCTAATTGCGATCTAGACGTTAGGGTGTAAATTATTCGAAGTATGTGTCTATTTTACATTTTCCAAATATGAATAAAGACAAAAGCTATTGATGTAAGATAGCATACAAAATATTTGTAGTGCTCACCTTCTTACTACTATTATATACATTGACGACCTCGTAGTCGCTGTCCACAAACAGGATGTTCTCCGGCTTGAGGTCTGTGTGCGTGAGCTTGTTCTCGTGCAGGAAGAGCACGCTGTAGATGAGCTGGTAGGAGATGTGCCGCACCTGCTCCAGCGGGTACGGCTGGTAGTTGTTGTCTTTCTGCAAACAACAACAATATATCACAACAACTATTCACTAAAAAGGGATAGAGGTAAATTTGATGTGGAGGTATGAGATTTTCCCTTTCGTCATCCCTATCTATCTAAAACATAGCAAAAAATGCATCTAAACTTTCCTTCTTACAAATGGTTATATAAACGGTTATTTTCTTTAACATAAATTTATATTTTGGTGAACAGGAACATGTTTCCCTTTATTCATACGGTTATAAACGTTTAAAACAATATCAACGAGTGAAAACTTACCAAAAAGTCAAATACACTCTGTCCGAGCATTTCAAATGCGATACACATGTGTCCATGGTATTCAAACCAATCCAGCATTTTTACACACAAACTGTAACAAGAAATTATACATGTTAGAATTCAAGTTTCTGTTACGTTCTGATTTATACTAACACGAATTTAAACATTTAAGTACTTTTACCGATGTTATCAATACGTCATCTAAACTATGAGAAATACGAATAGATAATGTCATATAGAGCTGGTTTTTCCATCTAAGGAAAATATAAGAAAGAAATAATATATAGTTTGCTTGCGATACTTGTATTTCATAAATAACAATTACGTCACTAGACAAACACATTTCTCACGCGTCTTAGGTGAAAGCATATGTAAATAATTTCGTTAATCAAGGTCGATTCTAAAACCGTTCGCGATATAAAATATTTAGTATTTATAAGCGACCAGAGCTCGCCGGGACAGGGTCGCGGGGAGGGGGTAGAGGAGTGGGGGGTGGTATTTTTGTGTGTAGGTTGACATCGGG